ATGGAATTTTACTCTATTTTTATTTTACTCTATTTTCATTTATCATGAACTTAAATTTTTTATAATTTAAAAAAAACCTTATTATTAATAAATATTTTTGTATACTAATATTTCTGTTTGATGAATTTTGGTTTCTAGAATTAAATCTCTAAAAATGTCTTATGAATATATTGATATTCTATATATATAAAAAAATAAAAATTTATATTATTATATATTATTTATTTATTTATTAAAATTTCTCTTATATATACATTTAATAATTAATTGAAATGTATGTATGTTATAATTAATATAATTTGTAATTTGTTTCCTCATATGTAGAATTTTATTATTAATCATCATATATCAACAAATTATCCTAAATTTTATTTTTTATTTTTTTAAATTTATTTTTATATTACTTTCTATTTTTTGTTATAAGATTTTTTAAAATTATTTTTATCACATTAATTAATCACATAAAATTTATAAATAATAACATATATATATATTATTTTAGGTTATGGAAAAACTCATAAGGATGCAGCAAGCGTACGTACAACGCATTGTATACCAGCTGCTTGTGGTCTCTATTATTTCGAAGTGAAGATCGTCAGTAAAGGCAGAGATGGTTATATGGGAATTGGCCTATCTGCTCATGGAGTAAACGTGAACAGGTTACCAGGCTGGGACAAACATTCGTACGGATATCACGGCGATGATGGACACAGTTTCTGTTCTTCTGGAACAGGTCAACCATATGGACCCACGTTCACTACAGGAGATGTAATTGGTTGTGGTGTAAATCTTGTAGATAACACTGCCTTCTATACAAAAAATGGACATCATCTTGGTATTGCATTCACTGATCTTCCGGTAAGTAATGAATCTCATCAAATTATTAATATTGATGAGAACGTTGATCTAACGTTTTTAACATTTTTTATAGATATTTAAATCATAGTGCATTATTGAGACATATCTATTTTTTTTTATTTTTTATATATTTTTTTTTTGATAATATATATTAATTTTTTTTTTCTCTTAAAAATTATTTATAAATATTTTAATATATTTATAAGAAAAATTTTTTAAAAAAATTTGTTAATGATTAGTCATCACTTTATTAGCCAAATTTATATCCAACGGTGGGTCTTCAAACACCAGGAGAAGTAGTCGATGCAAACTTTGGACAAGAACCCTTTGTTTTTGACATTGACGACATGCTTAACGAACTCCGTGTCAAAACAAGATTGCAAATTATAAACTACCCTACACCAGATCATGGACAGGGTCAATGGCAAGCAGTTCTTCACAAGTAAGTTGAATTTTTATGTTTTCTTTATTTTTTTATTATTCAAAAATTCTTCTAAATTATTAAACAAATTAAGTGTGAATTTTATGAAATAAGAAACAATGGAGATTGTTGAGAAAAAAAATTGTTTTTTTCCAACTAATTTCCTTTGAAATAGAAAAAAATATGAATATTTTTACATTTTTTATAACAAATATTATATTTTATAATAATAATTTTAAAATTAACTAATTTTAGAATATATAATAATTAATAATTTAAAATTAACTAAGATGTTTTATAAAAAATAAACAAAGTAAAAAAAATATTGAAGAATTTTTGTATGTTAATTGCATCATTTTTAATCTTTTGCAAAAAATAATCTTTTTAATCTCTAAAAAAATTAATTTTTATTTTTGTGGTACTTCTGATCTGAAGGAATCTGAATTATGTAAAAATTATTTAAAAATTATTAATAAAATTTAATTTTTTTATTCATATTAAATACATAATGTATAATTTTTATTTAAATTTAATTTTTACTTTTTAATAAATAATTTTTAAATTTGTTTTAGCTTTCATATAAATTTCAATCATTTATTTACATAATTAATAAACAATAAAATTTACATAATCAATAAAATAAAATTTTTAAATATCTATTTGAAATTATGTAGTTCTAATAATAAGTTCAATTAATTATTTAATTATACATTAATAATAGTATTATATTAATAATACTAATTTATATCAATTATATTATTGTATAATTATTTATGCAAAGGAATTCATTTTTTATCTTTCAAATTGATTAAATTCGAATTTAAAATTTCGTTCGCAATTAATAGAAAATTGAAAAAACTTTGTCTTAATTTAATATTGATTGCAAATAAGTAATATTATGCATATATTAAAGAATAGAAATGAAATATTGTTTGAATAAATTAGAATTATAAAATATATTAGAAATACAATTTATATTAGAAATATATTTATATATTTATATATAAATATATATATATATATTTATATTAGATATATATATATATTTATATATATATTTATATTAGAAATACAAATATTTTTTATAATGTTACATATGGTGA